CCCATCGATGTAGGGCGGGGTTCCCCCCCCCTTTAATTTTTTTTTTTTTTTTTTTTTTTTTTTTTTTTTTTTTTTTTTTTTTTTTTTTTCTATGAATTAAGGATGCGTTTGTTTGGACGGACTGGATAAGAGGAATTGTAATTTATAGGACTATTAGTTTTGGGATATATTATTCCGAAACTATTTGGTTGGATTAAATTTGTATCCTATGTTTGTTTAGTCATGAGATTAAATGTCTGGATTGGACTATTTTTAATTATCCAATGTTTGTTTGAGATATTATGGAGAAAGATAAATGCTCAAATGACTATTTTATCATTTTCAATTATTTACTAAGTAATAGCAATATTAAACATAGTTTTAATATTTTAATTATTTTTAACTAGATTCAATAAAAATTTATTTTATTCTATTTTTTACACAATTAAATAAATTTATTTTTAAAAAATAAATAAATAAAATATCAATAAAAATATATATGATTTTTTTAATTAAAATTTTAAATAAATTTATTTTAAAAAAAATAATAATTAAATAATAAAATAAAATAAAATAAAAAGTCAAAATTATTTAAGAAAGTCAAAATTGTCCTGCCACGCTAGAATTTCCCTACTTTGTCCCTATCCATCATTCTTATGAACTTTTTTTATTCATGGGAAAATTAGTAATTTTACATAAAAATATAAAAATTGAAAAAATTACCAAATATTGCACGAGTCAAAAAGTTAACAATGTATCAAATAAATTAGTTTTTTTAGTATTAAATTTTTATAAGTTGATTTTAAGTCAATATATTATGTTTTAGCTAAAATTCCAATAAAAACTATATTTTAGCAAATAGACAGGTTACTTTATTACACTTCTATTTGGTTGAGTTCAAGAAATTATGTTTTAAAGAATATTAAAATTTAAAAAATTAGTTTGGTAAAAAAATAAAAATATATATTATTTTCATCTGTTTTTTTATTTTTGGGTAGGAAATATTTTTGAATATTTTTAAATTTTATTTTTGATATTTATTTATATTAAATTAATTTTTAATATTTAAAAAATAATAATTAAAAACTCAATCAAATTGTGTCATATTAGCAGTATAATGCTTCAAACGGTGAGTTTCATCCCGTGCATGCAAGGCACGCGCGAGTTTCCGTCTAAAAAGCTAACGGCGGTTAATTATTGGATCATTTTGAGTCAAAAACCAAATTTTAGGGATAAAATTAAAACAATTAGAAGTACAAGGACTAAAATAAAAATATGGGTAAACTATAGGAACCATATTTGTAATTTGTCTTTTTTATTTTTAATTAAAAAAGCAGCAACTGAAAGACAAGAAGGAGAAACAAGCCATCACCATGTCACCGTTGATCATCAGAGGCGGCTGGACTCAAAAAAACGCTCTTTTAAGTTTGGTTTACGTCCAAACGCGGACATAGTCTTCCAGCATCTATAAATTCCTCTACCTCCTCCACTCACTTCATCTCTCATCTTCCCCCCAACTTCCCAACCCAAACCAGCTGCCACAAACTCCCAGAGAGAGAAAAAAACCCAAATTCTAGAGAGAGAGAGGGGGTTCACACACTGTGCATAGATAAGGTTTTGTTGCAATGACTGACGTCAACAGCGCCGGCGGTGAGTTGGTTCACGGAGGTCAGTTTATAAGGCACAACGTATCCGGCCATCTCTTCGAGATCACGGCCAAGTATCGGCCACCGATCATGCCTCTCGGTCGTGGTGCTTATGGAATTGTCTGGTAATTGATCGATTTAGTCTTTTGTTTTTTTTTATATATATATTTTTTGGTTTTGGTTTTGGTGGATTTGAGTGGTTTTAGTTTTTGATTTGTGATGGATTGGGCTTGTATTGAATTTGTGTGTTTTGGATATGAAGCTCGATGTTGAATTCGGAGACGAACGAGATGATCGCGATGAAGAAGATTTCCGATGCTTTTGATAATTACACGGACGCAAAGCGTACGCTAAGGGAAATTAAGCTTCTTCGCCATTTGAGTCACGAAAATGTAAGTGCTTCTTTGTGAAAGAACGTTTAGTGCTCTGCTTAACTATTAGACCTCCTTTCTTTGGAAGATTAGATCAGATGAGACTATGGGTACGTTTGATTGATTGAGAAGATTATTATTGTGGCGATATTAAATTAAAAGTATTTTGGTTTGTGTACTAGTGTGGGGTAATTAGGACTAAGGCTATAGGCTAACAAGGCAGTAAAATAGAATGTCATATTCAAATTATAATTATTTTATATTTTTGAGTAATGTTAGGGATTATGAAAAAAATATCATGAAGATGACATTTAGATTACGCATATAATAAAATACTACACACTAATCAATAGATGAAAAATCTTCATGATAAATTTCATGATATATTTTTCATGATCCTTAATATTATTATATTTTTTTCTCATAAAAGTCAAAAAAATTTAAAAGTTCATTCCAAATGAGACTTTTTAACCCAGGCTAAAATAATTAAAAAATTAGAAAGCCAAAAAATCAAATCACATTCCAAACGAAAGCTAAATCTATAAAATTACCCAAAATTTCTTCACACATGTAGTATAATTTTGTTAGGTTTATAAGGTGTATGGCAAAATGGTAATTTAGACATCAATTTGTTTGAGGGGATTATCCCAATCCTATCATGAAAATGCTAATCTCACCATTGGAGGGGATTCATACTCCTCTAAGCTTACTAATCTCATGACATTTGTTACACACAAACATAAATTTATTGGGTCCACAGATTGATAATTCAATCATCCCTCCCAAATCCCGATCAAACCTGGCCCTAAATCTCATTTAAAGCAGTTGTCATCTGTTTTGCGAATATACAAACTCATTATATATTCCGCCATATGGTAGAGTTTGATCGTATAAGATTTAATAACACTGCAATTATACCCATATCTGATTGGTTACCAACCACATGTGGAATAGATTATTTTTGTTGGGGGAGGGGGAGGGGGTGGCAGTCCAGTTCTCCCTCTGAGTTGTGTTTGAATTATAAATTTAGACAAGAAATTTGAAAAAATAAAAAGAAAATAATAGATGAAATGTGAATAAAATATAATTACATTTCATCTACTATTTTTCTTTTCCTCTCCAAGTCATTATCCAAACAGAGCCTAAGAGAAAACAATTCGTCAAATGTCATCGTTGAATGGGCCCATGCATCTTTTATGATAGCTAAAGCAAAAATTTTAATAGAACTGTGGTTATTAAATGAAAATTTTAAATTTATTTATTTTTGTATTTTATCATTTCAAATATTGTTTATGCTATGGTCTATGGGTTCAGCTAGCACTGGGACTGGGACAGGGACAGGGACAATGGTATTGCTGGGTTCCCTCTACCACAATAATATATTTTTTTTGCTTGAATTGGAGAAAAGAAAAAAAATATTCAAAATGAGAATTGAGATGCAGGTAATTGCCCATTAGGTCATTTAAAATTAAAATTAATGAAGGGGTATATTCAAGAAAAATGACCCAAGTGTCCTAAGCTTATAGCTTTTCTGTTGCAGTCTTCCAACAATCATATTCAAGAAAAATGACCCAAGTGTCCTAAGCTTATAGCTTTTCTATTGCGGTCTTCCAACAATCTGGCCTTGTAGGCCTTAACAATTTGACCAATATTTCTGCTGTGTGAAGTTTTGGTTCAAATATCAAGTTTCATATGTCCTCGTGAATGCCTCATTTCTATGTAAAAATTATTCTTTTTTATGAAGTACAGTATCAGGGTTTTGTAATTGCATAGTTAGGATTGTTTGAGATGAACTATATAACTACACTTTTTGACTTTTTGGATAAAAAAGTAGAGGAAAAAAAGATGATTGTTTGGGATAATTTTTTGATTTTTTACGAAAAAATGTATATTAAAATATTGTATAAAATAGCAAAATTACTGTATCACTCCTATGCTCTATGCGTAGTGACAGTGACAATTGAAGGAACAGTACGGATGGCTTTGAATTGTGTGGTGGGGGCGGATATGCTTCAGATTATGTATATATATATAGGATGAGACTTCCCTCTAGTCTTCATCGGATTGGAGGGGCTCACCACGGGTCCTGTTTCGATAATTTGAACCGATCAATATGTAGAACTCGTCGAGTACTATATGCCTGTAAAAAATCACGTTGATCGGTTATCGATAGCTATATAATCAAATCAGTTTTGTATAAAAAAAAAATGGACGTAAAAAATAAACGGCTGAAAAAAATCTGATTTGATCACTAGCTATCGATATCCGATCAACGTGATTGTTTACGAGCATATAGTACTCGACGAGTTTTACATATTGAACGGTTCGGATTATCTAAACAAAACCCGGGCCCCCATGGGCCCAACAGTACCCCCAATTCGATGAAGGGCTGGAGGGAAGCCTCATCTATTGTGCATTGCGCAGTGAGGGTACTTGGCTTGTGTATAGTACAAGTTCATTGTTGTACTTGGCTTGTGTACTTTTGTTTTTTTTTTTTTTTTTTTTTTTTTTTTTTTTTTTTTTTTTTTTTTTTTGGTGAATAGTGATAAATTTTTGACTTTTTTAGTAATTTTTTAATTTTTTGTCTTTTCTTAGATTTACCCAAACCCCTACTTAGTGTCTCTGCAACAATGTTGGTCATAGAATGCTTTTATGACAAAATACAAATGATTAATATTCCCTTCATCATTGAGTAATAATCTGTATGTACACAAATCATAACCAATAATTGGTTAATTCATTGATCAATGCTGCTGTTAATACAACGAAACATGTTCTGACCTTGATGAAGAAGCACTTGGGAGTTGGAAAGATTGAACAATGAACTTGTTCTTCCTCTCATACTATCTTTTTACCAAAAAAAAAAAAAAAGAAAAAAAAAAACAACTTTTTGTCACCACAAGCTACAATTTTGCAAAAGAAGTCTGAGTACTTTTAATTGTGATCGATATTATTGATTTTTGGCTGTTTAAAACAGGTAACAGGTATAAGAGATATAGTTCCTCCACCATTAAAGAGAGAATTTTTTGATGTCTACATTGCCACGGAACTCATGGACACTGATCTTCACCAAATAATTCGATCTAAACAAAGTTTATCAGAGGAACACTGTCAGGTAATACATTTCACTCTTGACTTCTTGGATACTTTAACAATTCAACATTCTAAAATTTTATTAGTTTGATTATTATTATTTTTTTCTATTAAGGAAATAAAGAAAGCTGACATTTTGTAATTGATCTCCTTGCAGTACTTCTTGTATCAGATCCTTCGAGGACTGAAATATATACATTCTGCAAATGTTATTCATAGAGATTTGAAACCCAGCAACCTCTTGGTGAATGCAAATTGTGATCTGAAGATCTGTGATTTTGGTCTTGCTCGGCCAACTTCAGAGACTCAGTTCATGACCGAATATGTTGTCACCAGATGGTACAGGGCACCTGAGCTTTTGTTAAACTCTTCAGACTACACTGCTGCTATTGATGTGTGGTCTGTGGGTTGCATCTTTATGGAGCTTATGAACAGAAAGCCTTTACTTGCGGGTAAAGACCATGTGCATCAGCTGCGCTTGTTGATAGAGGTAAGATGAAATTCAGATCTAGCTACTTATGTTCTTAACCATTTTTTCAAACATGTAATTTTAGAAGAGTGAATATATTGTTGATTAGGCTTAAATGTTTCCATTATCTGTGTTCCCTATGGGACACCCCAACAAGATTACGTTGCATTCTCCCAATAAAGATACTCAAGTATGAGTCTCCTTACCTTACCTATATAAAAAAAAAAGTTCATTATTTGCTTCTAATTGATTTATATTACAAGAAATGTTTTGCCTAGTAAAGTATCACTACAGTAATAGTTCTATAGTATCCGTTTCTCTTACATGATCATAGGATTGATTGAATTAAGAATTTATTTCTCAGTATTGCTCTTCAGTCTTCATTGGACGAACGCTCAGTGCTTACTCATTCTTTTACTTTTCTTAGCTTCTTGGCACACCCACTGAATCAGATATTGGGTTCATTCGGAGCAAAGATGCAAGAAGCTATATCTGTCAACTACCCCAACATCCTCGGCAGCAGTTAGCAAAGGTTTTCCCACATGTCCATCCATTAGCTGTTGATCTTGTTGATAAAATGTTGACATTTGATCCTGCTAAAAGAATTACAGGTAATTTTCCTTTCCTGTCAGCTAGTTTGACATGAAATAGAAATTGATTTGATATTAATTATTCAATGTTTATATTAAATTACATGAACTGCTTTCAGTAGGCACCATTAAAATGATATCGACGCTTCACTAATGAGCCTTTATTTATTTGTTTGTTAGACTGATCTAAATTTTTGATGTGTTTTCTGCTTATATTTTTTTTTCGTTAGTTTGTATCTTTATATACCTAGCAAACAGTGAACAGTTTGTACTTAGTTTAACATGTTAGAAGGTCAAGGTTCCGACCTTCTATTAATTGGGTTGAGGATGACAAGTACAAGTGATGCTCAGAACAAATTTCTAAGCATCAAGTGCTCAAGTGCCTGGAGAATTGAGTTACTGAAATTAGCTTCTTTTAGTGGATCTTCCTTCAGAACTTATACAGGTGTCAAGTGCATGTTAGTGTGAGTTGGCCAAGGCAACAGCCTAGGATGTGTCTCAGTTTCCACTCTCAACAGGCTTACACAACCAACATGGTTTGTTAGTTATGAGTCGAATTGGTTTCACCCTGAGTAGTAGTCCTAACAACATCCCTTACCCTTCCCCCTAGCAAAAACAAAGGCAAAATGGAGAAGTTTGAATGTTTAAACGCATCTCTATGGTTGCCACGCCATTAATTTTGAAAACTTTCTCTCTTTCTTGAGTGAAACTAAATTTTCAGAATTGTTTCATGGATCAATTTTTCTATGAACAACAACTGCACTTGAATTTGGATCCTATTTCTTGAAATCAGCTTGATGAATATAGGTACACCTTGATTTGGTTTCAATTCAATTATTTACAGTCCCATAATACCTCTTGGGATGGGGGATGTTCTACCCCAAAACCCACTAAATTTAAAAAATCATCCTCACTAAGGCAGATCTTTACTTGGTCTCTTGTTCAGGGCATCCAAGTCAGGGTCTTTTATTAGGAGTGCATGTTTTATAACTTCTGTTTCATTAAAATAAATAGATTATGTTCAGTTATGAACCTCTCCCACTGTGATGTACGGGTAATGGTTACAGCTACTTCTCTTTTCAATCAATATTATGAGGCCTGTTTTGTGGCATCTCTGGATATCTTTAGCTAATTGTTGATTTGTGAACAACGTTTGGTAAGAATAGGGTTCATAGGCATCTCTGGATATCTTTGGCTAATTGTTGATTTATGAACATCATTGGGTAAGAATAGCATTCATAGTCTGTTATTGACCATTTGTTAATAAGACTTGGTGCTTCTTTAGTGGATTTACCAAATAATATTAACTTATTAGTTTTGGTTGGAGGGATGAGTTAGGAGGAACTATGAAATGATGATATCAAAGTGATTCTGGCTTGTAATGTGAAAGAGCATCCTAGAAAGCATTTTAGTTAAGACAATAAACCATATGAAAGTGGTTGATCTCCTTGACAATGTCAACACAATGAAGTAGATGAGGAACAGTTTTCTTGGTCAAGTTAAAAACTTATATATGTATGTGGAAGTCTTCACTCAATGTGCAGAAACATAGCCTATATTTGGCGGTTGATACACAAGTTGCAATCAGCTACCTGTCACTGATGTTTAAATTAACAAAACGAAAGGTACCTTCCATAGCAGTTATCAATTAGAATGTGAACCCTGATTCAGATATTCAAACAGAGAAGTTACAGGTGTCATAATATGAAAATGCAAAAAGCACTGTGCAAATTAATAATTTGGACTTGTTCGCTTAGGGCAACATAATCGGTTTTCAAAATTTTTAGGAAGCCCTATTTTTTTTAGATATACTTTGTCATTATACATGTGTTTACTAAATTAGTTACAATCAGTATGAAAATTCATTACAACACTGTCATAAGGTCTATATAACACTTTTACATGTGGATTCAAATGTTCAATTGCATTTCAAAAGTTTTACACATCACATTTGTGACTTTATTTTTGATTTTTAACCTTAGTTTTCTTATTTTTAAATGCAAAAAACATTTTATGGCTGCAGTTGAGGAAGCATTAGCCCATCCTTACCTTGCAAGATTACATGATGCAGCTGATGAACCAGTCTGCCTAGAGCCATTCTCCTTTGATTTTGAACAAGCCTTGGGCGAAGAGCAGATAAAGGATATGATTTACCAGGAGGCCTTAGCACTCAATCCGGAGTATGCATAATGCAAAAAACAAAATCCATGTCAGGTTCTCTATATAACAAGTCTGTAAGTCCAGTTCTGCTCAGATGAGAAGATCACTGCAATTGAAATATTGCATCCAGTAGAGCAAACTCCTTTTCAACAATCCAATTTATAATGTACTGATCAAATAGCTAAGATCATCCTCTCAATCGGATTTGATCTGGTATTATTTAATTGTGTGGTGTATGGATCTTGGATTTTGTCATAGAAGGGAAGAGATTTGTGAAAAAAAAATACAGCTTTTATCTCATTCACTTTTTGCTTCTCAAATCCAAGATCTATGCACAACCTTGGTGTCTCTTTTGATTGTCACTTTTTGCTTCTCCAATCAGTTGTACTGTATTTATGAGGTCAGTATCTTCAAGGGTTCTGTTTTCCTCATAGCTCTTACCAAATGCCTCTTCATTTTGTATTTGTTTTTTTTGTGTCTGAAATTTTATTGTACAGTAGCTTGGATTGATTGTAAAGAAGATGTATAACTTGTGTTGAAAATATATGAATGAGAATTACCATTTGTTGTTCTTTATATATGGTCCTGTTAACAGTTATGCTAAATTAAGTATATAAACTCCGTACCTATGTAAAGATGACTGGAAGAAATACCAGTATGGAGATTGATGACTAAGAAATAAAGTATGTTAAACACTTTTGATTTGTAGAAGACTTCTTTTATTTCAATTAGCTGAAAAAACCTTATAATTTGTTGTCGTAGTTGTTTTTTTGTTTTTTTTGGGTATGTGTTTCCCCACTTGCTGCTGAGAGCATAAACCTTGCTTATATACAAAAGATATATATGTTTATATATATATATATATATATATTTATATACCTCTTTAAAATATACGTAGCAATATCTACAATCGTATCCACCCAAGTTGCCTTCACCACTAGCAAACAATCTGCACCTAACATCTTCAGTTATGATTGTTGACCAAAACACAGATGGGGCCCCTTCTCAAAATTTTAAATTTAAGGGAGTATGCATATGCCAACTTGCCATTTTCTTTTTTTTTTTTCATTTAAAAGTCTAATGTTGTCTATAGTCTATTATAAATTACTTTGATCGCATGTATCGTTTTTTATTATGTAATAATGTTATTAGCTAGTTGTGTGTAATTTATTTGCACCAACTATATTCTCTTGTTTAGTGGTAGCAGCCTCCTAATCGTCTCTCATAGTTTATCTAAGATATGTAGTATAAAAATATAATTTGAGAAGCAACTTTTCTTTCAAGGAATGTAGTTTAAAATAGATCTACACACCTAGTACATGGACATAAACTATAAACAAATTTTTGTGTGGAGAAATCTCATATACAATGGTATAGCCTTTTATGGTTCTTTCGTTTGAAACTGAAACAATATTAGCATATCATTCTGAATGGATTTTCAATTTGAAAATTTTGTTTGTGTACCGTTTTCTTTTATCTTGTATGATGTGATTATCACTCTTCTTTTGTATGTTGCTGTTGATTTGCACTTACAATATGGTTATCAAAATCTCGATCCAGATTGTAGAATTTTAAGATCTTTCGATTCTAGTTGGGACAAATGATTCAGATCGCATTAAGATCTTAAATTTAGTAGGATCTTAAAATAATTACGATTCTAGTCATAAAATCATATAAAATTATACACGATTCCGATCCTACTAAAAATATTTCTTATTGTTTATTTCTTATATATGTATGTATGTGTACATTTATACAAAAGATTTTACTATAAACTTTTTCTCCAACATCTTGTATAATTTATGTGTAACATAAAAAATGCATTATATCAAATTTATTATTTTTTTAATAATTTTAAAATGACATAAGATACATTATTATTATGAATAATTTTTTATTTTATTTTATATTAAAAATAAAATCTTATGATTCTTAATTCAATTTTACAATCCAATCTACATGGGGCGCAACAATTCTATGTAAGATCCTGCTTTTAACAACTTACTCTCACAGTAGAGCAATTATAGTCCATCATCACCCTAGATGTTTGGCACTTCAGTCGAAAATTACATTTAACAATCAGTTGTTTTTATCCTCAAAAAAAAAAAATCAGTTGTTTAAGATATTTGCGTTGGATCCAACGACTCAATGTGGCTGGCCTTCCCATATTTGACTTTGTTGGTTGCTTGACACAGACCTTTACTTCACCCAAAAAAATAATTTAAAATTCACCCAAGACACAGACCTTTACAGCGATGGAATGTCAGCACCAAAATTCATGATCGTTTGGACAATTATATAAACAGTATCAGATGAGAGTTCATCCTTCAAGGAGAAGAGAGGTTCAACATATATATGTAGAACTGGCCTTTTGAGGCATAAAAGCCACCGTGCTAAAACTTGCAACTGTTGTGTTGCATCATGGTTGCCGGCTCACTCCCCATTGATGGAGAAGCACAGCTGCCAATGTCCAACCGCAAGCAAGGCGGTTGGATCACAATTCCATTCATCATAGGTCTATCTCTCTCTCTCTCTCTCTCTCATTCATATGCTTGCATGCACAACTATATATATATATATCAAAAATGTTAGGGATCCAAAAGTTCTACTAAAGGTCTTACATCACATGAGTGTGTGACCGACATGGGACGCACATGGTGTGGTCCCACATCCATGTGAGATATTTGGTAGAAATTTTAATAAAATTTTTAAAGTCTCTAGCATTACTTTATATATATAGGATAAATTATGCAAATGGTCCTTGTAGTTTACACAATGTATCAATTTGGTCACTCTCGTTTCAATTTGCTCGATTTTACCCCTTAATTTAACAGATTGTGTCATTTTAATCCAATAAATAATGATTGTTAAGTTTGATGAACGGAAAGTCTACATAATGTGTCAATTTGGTTCTTGTAGTTTACACAATGTGTCAATTTGGTCCCTATTATTTTAATTTGCTTAATTTTAACAAAGACTAAATTGACACATTGTGTAAACTATAAGGACTAAATTGACACATAGTTTGACTTTTCGTTCACCAAACTTAACAACTGTTATTTATTGAATTAAAATGACACAATCCGTTAAAGTAAGAGACAAAATTGAGCAAATTGAAACAACATAGACCAAATTGACACATTGTGTAAACTATTGTGTAAACTACAAGAACTATTTATATAATTTACTTATATATATATATGTTACATCAATCTAAAATGTGATCTATCTGTTAAAATCTGCAGCAACTATGGCGGGCTTGACACTGGCATCCCAAGGATGGGTGAACAACCTTATTGTATTTTTGATTGGGCAGTTCAATGTCAAAAGCATTAATGCTACCCAAATTTTTAACGTCATTAATGGCTGCGTTACTATGTTTCCCATCCTCGGAGCAATCGTTGCTGACTCCTTTCTGGGCTCGTTCTCTGTCATCTGGATTTCTTCTCTCATCTCTGTACTGGTAATTTTTACTTCTACGGATTTAGAGAGCTTTTCATTCATTATCCGAAATTGAAGTGTCTGGCGTGAATTCATTATAAATATAAACCTCTCAATGTAAGTGGCAGAGGTGTTGGGGGAATATGTATACATCTTGGACTAGTAACTTGGGTATGAAATTTTTATTTTTATTATAAATTATTAATATCTCTCCTAGTAAGCATATAGCCATATATATTTGACAAAGTCTCAACCCCCTCATCTCTTGTGAATTTTTTTATGTTTTATTTCTGTGCGAGTAGTATAATTCACCTGTATGATTTCACCGTCATTGCACATAAAAATAAAAAATGAAACCATACTAACATTTAACAAAAGTGAATAAAGCCTTGCGAGCATACTACAATCCATGTTTATAGGACACGAAATTCACTACGATCAACTTTCTATCCGCACTGAAATGTGTTCGGTACTTGATTATTGCAAGGTGAAGTAACATGTCTTTTTCTTTTTCTTTTTTTAATCTTAGGATTTATTTTCACCCTATAATTTCAGGGCATAATTCTTTTAATCCTAAGTGCGACACTCGACTCTCTGAGGCCTCCACCATGTGGAAATGCATCAAATTTGTGTATCACCCCATCAAAACTCCAATTTGCAGTTTTATATCTGGGTATTACTCTTGCAACTATTGGCGCCGCAGGTACACGGTTCACCCTAGGAGCAATGGGCGCCGATCAATTCGACAACCCCAAGCATCAAGGAAGCTACTTCAACTGGTTCATCTTCACCCTGTACATGGCATCCATAATAAGCAGCACAGCAATTATCTACGTTGAAGACAGTGTAAGTTTTGGATTGGGGTTCGGCCTATGTGCTGCAGCTAATGTAATTGGCTTAGTCATTTTCGTATTGGGAAAACGATTCTACCGCCATGTTAAGCCACAAGGGAGCCCATTCACAAGCTTAGCTCGTGTTTTTGTTGTGGCTATTCGGAAGAGGAAAATCTTGCTTTCTCAACGGAGTGAAGATTATTACAACAAAATACATGATGGAGTGACAATGATGGTTGTGACAACACCTACAAAAACGTTCAAGTAAGAGTTTCAGTTGCTTCACGTTTCCAAATTTCTTTTTAGTACAAATTACAGTCACATTGGTAATTTTATACTTTGTATCAACTTTTTTTGAGTGAATTAAATTCTGTCTGATCATCAAAACAAAACATGTATTAATTCTTCAATTATACAGGTTTCTGAACCACGCAGCTCTGAAAACTGAAGGGGACATCAGAGCAGATGGCTCCATTGCAAAGTTGTGGAATCTGTGCACAGTACAACAAGTAGAAGACCTCAAAGCTCTAATCAAAATTGCCCCATTATGGTCATCCGGTATATTCTTAAGCACACCACTCGCCATCCAATACAGCTTAGCAACCCTTCAAGCTCTCACCATGGACCGCCACCTCGGACCTCATTTCAAAATCCCACCCGGGTCCATGTTAGTCTTTATACTGATCGCTACTTGCATCACCATCGTCCTGCTAGACCGGTTCCTGTATGCCGCCTGGCAGAAGCTCACAAGTCGATTCCCAACACCGCTACAGCGAGTAGGGGTAGGGCACGTGCTATGCGTGCTCAGCATGGCCTTGTCAGCCATAGTAGAGTCAAAGCGGCTCAAAATTGCTCGGTCCCATAACCTCCAAGACCAAAGTGTTTTGATCGTGCCAATGTCCGCCTTCTGGCTAGTACCACAGCTAGCCCTAGCTGGTATCGGGGAAGCATTTCATTTTCCGGGAAACACCGCATTGTTTTACCAGGAATTCCCGGCGTCCCTAAAAAGTACATCGACGGCGATGGTGGCGATGTTCATTGGTATTGCATATTATGTGAGCACGGCCTTGGTAAGTGGCGTTCAGAGGACCACCGGATGGTTGCCAAATAATATAAATCATGGGAGGATGGACAATGTGTACTGGCTGTTATTTGTGATTGGTGTAGTCAATTTTGGATATTTTGTAGTGTGTGCTTGGTTGTACAAATATCAGGGTGTTGCAAAGGTGGTAGATGAGAATCCTAGTTCTGATGATAAGTAATGCATAGATGTGGTGAAAAACATTTAAATGCTTTTGATGTAT